AGGAGTTGTTCATCCAGCACTGCTGCTATGTGCAGGTTGTGCAATATAAAGTATAGACCCTTCATTCCAAAAAGTCCAAGATTTCGTGTGTTCATGTGTTTTATACGTGGCTTGTTGAAATCTTTTGTATGCCATGGACATCATGCTGGTTATACAGTACTGTACAGCACTGTACTCTATTTACTTGAGTACCATGTGCATTTATTTTTTTAATGAAGAAGAAAGAATTAAGTGGGTGCGTGTCATATAGGCAGGTATACAATTTTAAAGCATTTCTTAACCCGTATACAGTGAGACCCCAAGACGCAAATGCAGTACAATAAATGGTGCTTGGACCTTGTCCATATGTGGGAACATCCACATGCTAGACCTCAATTTCCCATCGAATTCAATTGGAATTTTTATAATTGATTCTCAAGGGTGCATACAGTATTTTTGACAAAGGAGTCAGAGTTTAAAGAGAAAAAAAGAACCCCAGCAATCATGCTGGTGAAGCCAAGGACAGCAGCAGTGGTTGGGGTCATAGGCGTAGCCTTGGCAATCCTTGGTGCTGGTGCTGGTGCTGATGCTCAAGACCCTGATGCAGATCCCCAGAGTCACACTTGTCTACCCACCAAGAAGTGGTCTATCAAAGGGGAAGACGTTGTTGCCAATTCCAGAGGGAATGTTACTCTAGTGGCTTTATTGTCTGCATCCTGTGGCTTCTGCATAAGACAAGCCTTTTTGTATGTATACAGTATATGGTTGAATGAGCCTAATTATAGTGGTGCCAAAAGTGAACCAAAAGGTTTGATGTGCAATTTTGTGTTATCTCTATATACATTCAAGCATAAGCCTACTGAAGGACAGGATGGAACAAGAGGGGCATTATTTCAATGCAGCCATTGTGAATGAAGCCAGTATGCTGTCTATGTTGTACAGTTTGAAGCTACAAGAAGCAACTAGCCTCAAGATCCCAGTGTATCAAGAGACTCATCAAGACCCGGTGTGGGAAATTCTGGGAGGATCCAGGGATGATATCCTTCTGTATGACAGGTACATTTTATTTATACACATTTTCATTTTTAAACTCACCTTTCTGCCTATACACTGCTCCCCAACATAAAGAAGCACATTATACTCATGCTGCAACCCTTCAGCAGCAAAGGGTTCTTATCCATTGCAGGATAAAGTACATATTTTTACATTTGCTTCCAAATTTTAATTGTATCCAAAAATGCTAAAAATCCAGCCAGGTGGGGCAGGCCGGCAATGTCATGCTTGTTCCAGCAGGGATAATCAATTTCCTTTTTTTCTGAAGTTGGATTTTGTTGCCTCTAAAGTACTGTATAAGCTTTACTTCTCATGCTTAGGATTGGAACCCTAAGATCCTCAATAAGCATCTCTCTGTGAGGCAATAACCCCACATACATGCAGGCGATAAAGAAAACCAGCCTTTAAAAGGATACTTTTTCAGGGTGAACATTTTCTGTGGTGAGGAAAAAAGCCAAGTTTTTCCAGACTTTGTCGTGGTTCATAAAGTTTGCACACACTAAAAAAGATACAAAAAAACGTTAAAATTAGGAAGATTAGAAAACCTCTCGTCAAAGTCTTTAAAATATTGAATTGAAAAAAGTCTGACCTTGCTGCTGATGAGTTAAATAAGCTTGGTAAACCTTATTCAAAAACAAAACAAAAACCTTAGAGGCAAAAATTAAGTAATTTAAAAATGTGGTGTTCATTATTTTTATACTGTATTGGTTTTAAGATCATATTCATTTGAATGTCTGTAAGTTGCTTGGGGTTCCCCTTATTTTTATAGTGGGACTTTATTTTATTAGCAGCTAACCAACTGTTCATGGGCAGTGAGTTGATAAGGTTGACATATATTTTTCAATGCAAAAAAAGAACAGACAACTTCCCAAAATTAAAAAAAAATTCCAATTGAATTATTGCTTTTGCAGGTGTGGTAGACTGGCTTTCCACATCCCAATGCCATTCAGTGACATTCTCAGCCCATTCCAGTTTGTTCAGAAGTCATTGAAGCAAGTGCTGGAGGACAAAGACTTGTGTGGACCTTGTCAAGATGAAGCACTTGACACTGAAGAGACTCAAGAGGCCCAACAGGAGCCTCAACAAGAGCAAATTGAGGTACCTGCAGAAATTGTTCAGGAAATTGAAGAAATCCAGCAACTGAAGGATGACTTGCCCACTGATGAGGATGAGCCCAAGAAAGTCCAGTGCACAGTGGTATTTGATGAGACAACCTCGACAAGTGTCACAAACTGCGAAGACCCAGCAGTCGTGCTTCAGCTTCCTTCTGACTTGGACGGGGTCAAAGAGGTTCTACCTCCTCCAATGGATGCTTTGGAAGAGACTGAAATCGACATTAAGCTCCAGAGGCTGGACGATGTCGATGGAGAAGACTTTGCATTGCCTGCCACGGATCTGGAGCCATTGAACAGAGCTGAACATGCTCCAAGGTAAATCAATAAAGTTCAAAAAGCATGAAACAACCTTTTTTGTTGCTTCAGACTGGACTCTGGAGTTGTATAGGAGAAGGCCATCATCATCATCATCATCATCAGTGTGCTTTTGTATATACTGAACCATTGCAGTTGGACTAACAATTCAACACCGACCTTTTCTTATGAAATCCTTTGGTAGTCACATTTATCAGATACATTATTATCTGAATTTAAAATTTTGCTAATTTGTGCTCATATTTTTTCTATTTCAGCCAATAATTGAATAAAAATCTCAACTTTCAAACCTGCATGACGGTAAGTTTCATTGAGAGCAGGATTTTTTTCAAGATGCTATGATTTAGGTTGAGAATTTATATTTGATTACCATGCATAAATTAGTAAGACATGCCCCAAGTTTTATACTGTGGTGAAATCCTATTCTCAAGTATGATATGCACCTTATGTTCAGTGACTATATAAGAGTTGGGAGATCAAAACAAATTTAAAGGCATCAAAATCAAAATTTTGACTTGCATTGAATCCTACTTGAACTAATTTCCCCCAGTTTCCATTGAAAATAAAAATTCTTTGGTGAAATTTGTAGAAAATTTTCTATGAGGATCAAGTGTTCATGATGGCACCTGAAATCCTAAAAAAAAATTGAAAAATTATATACATGGCTGTTTATTTTTATGTGTATTCTCCTTTTTGATCCACTTGACTTTGCAAAAAATACAGTAAGTGCACATGATGGTATTAAAGTGTCCTCTATATTTTTTTTCCCTCCAGGAGTGACATTTCAGATGTTCCAGTGGTGGAAGTAAGAGAGAACCCACCAGTCCCAGAAGTCGACCTCACCACTGAGCCAATCCCTGCACTTCCTGAACAAGGTCTTGATGAGGAACTGAAGCCCAATAATGCATTCCAACCTCATCGTCCCCCATACACTGCTGGTTTAGACGATGATTTGCTCAAATTATTTCTAACTTCGCAACCTTGGCTTATCGGCGAGGACCACCAAAATCCGTGGAGCACCTTGTTGGCACCCATGCAGCCCTGGATCCCTGTGGTGGTCACTCCCGCGCCACCCAGGAGAGTGTACCACAAGGCTCGCAAGTACAGAAACAGGAGCAAGTACAATAATAATAGGCCTCATCATCAGGTGATGAGCAGAGAAAAGCTCTACCGACAATACATGGGTGAGGAAGAGAACATGATGGATGTAGAGGAGCAGGAACCAGAAACCATCAGACGGATTCCCACTCATGCCAAGAAGAACTATTACTGGAAAAAGAAGAAGATGTACAATAAGCAGAGGAAGCAATACAGGGATGAGGATGAAGA